CAGGGGAGGCGGGGCGGGCGCCTGCAGGGCGTCGCGTCCCGGAGCTCTCCCCATACGGTCGTATCGCAAAAGGCACGAGTTATATCCCAAAAAGCACTAGGAACATGTAGGAGAGGAAGGAAACGAGCCACAAATGAACCATCACGCAGGTTTAGGAAAGTTTATTGTATGTGTTTATTTTACGTTACCTCGTAAAGAGAGATTTTTTTTTTTCATATTTCAACAAATAAAGGCAAGGAAGGGTTGTTTTTTCTTTCTTTCTGATTGTTTCTGGTAGAGGAAGAAAAGTAAAATTCAAGAGTTGTCAGAAATGCAAATTTTTAGAAGTTGCACTTTTGTCTGGACTACCTTGACTGGAAACAAGCCACGAAAACAACAACACAGAGTGCCCCAGTCAATGAAGGGACAAGGACCCTCGTTCCTCCAAGGGAAAATCTTGCATTGAAAACCTCTGGCTGTGCCAACGCGCATTTCTCCTGGTGAAACAAATGTAAATTGTTACTGAAAATAACATTTGAGTGTCCCCTCTGGCCTCTGTGAGCAGTAGGAGACCATATCAACTCTAAAAAAGGGTCTTGATGAGATTGCTTTAAAATAGCTGAAGTGTTTTGTAGAGATCTGTGGAGCGGGATTTCATGTAAAACAGTAGGGGGAAAAAATGAACGTCTTTCTTTTTGTGAACACCTCTTGATACTTCTTGATATTCCCTTGATACCTAGATTTTTAATATTTGTGTGTGTGTGTTTTAACATGACCTCTCTGTCTTTAAATATCTAGCGAGACCCGTCCCACATTATTTCTCTCCTACATGGGTTTGACAAGAAAACAAAATCTCAACATCTCATAGGAAATGACAACAGGTACTCAATAAATTCCACCGTACGACTGAGCATATGGAAGAGAACACTGGAAGGTCATCAGGCAGCTTGTACTGCATTAAGGTTGATCTTATGTCCTCCACTTGCTAGTACTGGGTTTGCTGGTTCTGTGAAAACACAGCCATTCATTTGCACGGCTGAAAAATTAGGAAGTGGTCTCAGCTCTGGGAAAGATGGGAGGAACGATTTCGTATTTACAGTTCGGGGGAAATTTTGAATTTCCCTGTTACTGTTTCCTGCAGAATTTCAGCTGCTGTAGCCGGAATTTTGTGCGCTAGATCGTTTGATCCAAACATCAGGCATATCTGGTTGGCTGTTTGGTAACACGACGGGATCTTCACTCCCTAATCCAAGCCGATTTTTCCACGAAGAGCTATTTTGCTGTGACGCTACTGGAGAGACATCAAACACAGTCTCCCTCAGCTCCAGCCGCAGGGTATCTCTCTTACCGTTCAAGTAACCTCTTTCTGCTTGGCTGTATGAATCTGACAGCTCTAAGGCGTCTGGACAAGAACTGGCCGATTCAGCGAGTTTTAGGCCTTGCTCAAAATCACTAATTGACGTCTCACTGGAGATGTTGAGCATGTCAAAAGAGCTGCCAAGAGAACAAAGGCATCGGTGAATTTTGTAGATGTCAGCAGCAGGGAGATGGCTGTGGTCTGAGGTATAATCCGACTGCTGCTGGGCAGTGTCACTAGAGCATTGTGATTTATTGAGCTGCCTGTCATCTTTCACGCCAGCCGGTGGGATATGGTCCAGCATGGACCCATCCCAAGCTTTTGGACCATACTTTCGGCACTCACAATCCCTGCACAGCGTCTCCCTGTGAATTTCTGCTCCCGAGCTGCCATGCTTGTATGGAGAAGATGTTTGCAAGGCAGGACACTGACACAGGCCAACCTGCTGGTCCCCAAGAGTCTCCTGCATGTTTTGTCTTTCAAGAGAAGGGTGCATTCCTATTCTGGGGCATCTGTTGTCTTCAAGTTGGGTGTCTTCAGACAGCACCGATGGCCGGTTGGACAGCTTGCTTGTGGAAGTGCTGTTGTCAAAACTGTCGCTGAGCTTTCTGGACAAGGGTTGGAGCTCGTATTGCTCGTTCGCAGTGTTGGATTCCTGGACCTTACGCAGCCTGTTTTGCTTCTCACTTCCCCCACAGGCAAAACTCCCGTTTGGCCCAGAGTCATCAGAATAGTCTTTCACGGTGTGGGTACAGGGCCAAAGGATCTGCCCGCAGTTCTTCTCCGGGCCAAAGAAGCAGCACAGTGACTGGAAGAAGAAGCTGGCAAACCCGCAGCTAATACACTTGATCATCATTATGAATATCCCCAGCTTCCTGTATGCCAGGACAGTGGCTGGCAACATGATGACCCCTGCGGAGAAAAGAGCAGAAGCTGCCATGGCTGTGGCACAGCTCATCTGCTTCAGCGAAAAGGCCACTCGGCTCAGGCGGTCAGAATGGGGGCACAAGTGGTAGGAGATGCAGTAGTTCACGGTAAAGTCGACGGAGAGACCTACTGCGGCTGAAATAAAGAGAGATTCTGCTGCATTGAGCTGCCATTCCAAGAGGACCAAGAGGCCCACAGTCACCAGGACGGTGCCTGCGATAGCAGTGACAGAGAAAACGCTAAGGAGAACGTTCCAGGTGGTGAGCAGCAGCACTACAAAGGAAATGGCTATGGAGAGCCCCATGACCACTGTGGTTTCTGTGCTAAGACTATGCTGAAGATTATATAGCTCTAGCTTACTGGTAAACCACCCGTTCTGAAGCCCCATGGGGGCAGTTTTCATCTCCTCTGTCACCCAGAGGTTGATTTCCTCATAGAAGAGTTTGGCTTGGCTGTAATTGAAGGTATAGTGGTAAATAGTTTGAAACTGCAGCACTAAGGCAGCAAGATTCCCCTCTCCGTCAAACCTGAGACCCAGATCATATGTTTCAGCTCCTTCCCTGCCTTGTTCCAGGAGC